TTTAAAAATTCAAATAAAATTCAAAAACCAATGGAATAGTGTCATTTGAATTTGGACAACTTCCATATATCATGGGCCAACTCAAAAACTCAGGCTAGGGTTAAATTGCACACTAAGTCTTGGTCTTGGCTTAAAAGAAGGAAAAATTGGTTAATGGTGAAAACCCTAGGACTTGTTCTCTCATGAGCATAAATCAAGGCCAGCTAGTAAGCTAATTCTCTTCACTAATAAGCACTGAGTCAAACCCTAAGCCTTGGACACTATAAGCTGCGCCCAAAAAAGCTATTGCACATTGAAAATTTTCCATAAAAACACAAAACTGATTTCAAGGTTAGAGGTGGATTCAAGGCATAAAAATCATCCCATTAGCTTCCTTGGGCAATTCTGAACGTGTATCAATCACAAACAACAAGCCAATCTCCAAGAATTGGTAGTTAGAACTCGAACTGTATAGCAAAATTTCCAAAATCGTGCATCATGATTTAAACATTTTTACAGCATTTTGTCCATTGATTCATGTTTAGCATAATGTTTTGAGACTAACCATCATGTTCAATTGAGTTTTCATTGGCCATGCGCGATTCTACCATTTTCATATTCTAGGTTTTTTCAGAGCTTGATTTAGGGCTTTCACAATACAGTAAAATTAGGGTTCCAGACTTATGTCATTCAAACCAGCTCATCAAGACGAGGAGATATGGACCCTCGCGATCAATTTATTGATGTCACAGCGCTAGTCGCTATTTTTCATAAACATGCCTAACACAACGCGTTGAAACCGTTGCCTCTGTGTTTTGTATTTCAGGCACGCGAGGAAGATGAGTACATGGCACGCTGTGATTCGTCAGTTCAAAAATTGGCGCGTTGAAGGCCACTAACTCTCTTTTCTTTTTATTATATTCATTAATCATTATATGTTAAAAGTAACTCAAGTGCTTCAGTGGCAGGCGTATTCCTTTGCATTGTCTAAGACCTGGGTTCGAACCCCAGGTCTGTATAAATTTCAATAATATTTTTCATTACAAGATCTTGTGCAGCGCTAACGTCCAGGGCATACCATACACACTCAAAACTCATCGTCCACACGTCCCAGTAGATCAATCAAAGGGCTCAGATTCAAGGCACATGATACGCTATGGTCAACGCATTGGCACGTGAACTGAAAAGTCAAGTGGATTTCAATGTTAATGGGCCAGAATGCTAGGCCTTACCTCCAATTCTGGGGCTACCCCCCCTGGTTTGATTTTCTTTTTATATTTCATTTTCTCAATTGTTATGTTATTTATTTATTTTATTTGTTTTAATTAATTAATTATTTCTACAAAAATATGAAAAATATCATAAAAAATCAGAAAAAGGCAAAAAATATAATTTTCATTTTAATTACTTTTATAAATAAATTACATGTAAATAAATTTAGTAAAATAGGTTTTAACTTTAATTCTTTCTTCCATAAAAAAATCCAAAAATATAGCATTAGGTTAATGACTTTTTTTATTCCTTTTAACTTTCCTTGTTTTTTGCCATAATATTAGTAATTTTCATAATTAAACTTGTAAACTAATTAGGGTTGCATTTAGGTTAGATTTTACTACTTTCTTAATAACTAAAAATCCAAAAATATAGCATTAGGTTTAATGACTTTTTATACCTTTTAAATTTTCCTTTTTTTTATCACAATATTATTTATTTATTTATTTTATTTTTATAATTAAATGTACATAAGTAAAAATTAGGGTTTAATTTAGATTAATATAACATTTTCACAATAACTAAAAAACATTAGAATTAGGATTTGCATTTCAAATTTCATTCTAAAAAGTTCTTTTTCTTTTAAATCTTAAAAAACACAAAAATACCAAAAAACATTTAATTTTTAACTTTCATTTTAATTCCTCATTAATTTGATATTTTGCAAAAGGGTCCAACGCCCGTCGCTTTAATTATTTTGTTTCGCGCATTTTACTTTGTCGCTTATTATAATTATGTACATGTCCCAAAGCCTTGTAATAATTTTATTTCTTGCACTTTTATTCGCTTTATTTATTTTTCAGTCCAAATCGGGTCCGGTTTAATTTTGGCGATGTGGACCCGCGCCATTTGTAATAGTTTAGATTTATTTTCCCGCAAATATATAACTGTTAAAAAGCATGCAAGAATGAATGTCTTAATTAAAATCAAGCGTAGAACACAAATAAACATGACAAGACAAATAACTGAAACATGACGCACAATTCGCACACACCACCCCTAGGGTACGCCTCACCTGTTGCCTTTCGAAAGGTGGTCGTCGAGTAGAGGACGTCTTAGTAAGTCCTCATGATCCGGGAACCTGGCATGAGGGTAGCTTCTAAGGTGTCTTCCCATTACTCCGGTGATCACCATGTCCCTACAAACTCGAATTGACCCGAACACCTCCAACGGTGGTGCTACCTACCTCTCAATGGTGGGATGGCACTACTTTAAAGGACATTTACACAGACGAATTCCTTAGGGTAGATAGGTTCTCAAGGATACTTGCTCTAATTTCAAACAAAAATACTTTTCACACCAACACACTTTCAAAAGCTTTCAAAGCAAATTTTTCAAACACTCTGACGTACGAGTCGAACTGAAATTTTTCAAAGAAACTTTTAAAACCCACAATTGAAAAGCAAGCAAACATTTTTGAAAACACATTGAGCAAGTATCTAAGAGCCCATGGATAACCATGGATAGAAAGGGTTCTAACACCTTCCCTTTCTATAATCTACCTCCCGAACCGAGAGCAATCTCTTTAAGGAATTTTTCTGTGCTTTTGTCCTTTCCATTTGGAGAAAATAAAAGACGGTGGCGACTCTTGCTTCCGCGACATTTCGTGAACCAGCTTTAAAACAGTCAGTTCCAGATCCACCGATCACAGTGTGTGTTTTGATTACTGTGATGAATTCTATTAGAACATGATCAAACTCAGTATAAACAGTTTTGCATGTTGATTGAGTGATCACCCTGTCAATTGAGTGAATTATAGTGAGATGAGAGACAGGTTGACTTCTTGCAATAAGTTGAGGAAGTTTCCTATTTTTTCCAGATTGAAGTTACAAGCTTGAATGGTGATCTGGTAAAAATAAGTATGGTGATGTTCAATTGTTGCTATTGTATTTTTGTGATTTTGTTTGGAATTTTCAATTGCAAGGAAATTTACTTGAGGACAAGCAACAGAGTAAGTTTAGGATTGTGATGACATTTGTCATTACATATATCTCGTCAAAGAAACAGAGAAAATCAAGTCAAAGATCACCTAATTTGATAAAGAACAGCCCAAGAACGGGGTAAAATGAATAAAGTATGAAAAAACAAAGACTTGGGAAAAATCTAGCTAAAAAGGACCAAAAAGCGAGTCAACACTGGAAAAATCATGTGCGTGATACTGAACAGGAGAACATGTGTCAGCCACTGGATTTGTCACGCCAACATCGCGCCCAAATGGACACACGATGAGACTGGACAAGTTGCATCACGCGTGGAATGCAACCTATCATACACACGACGAACCTTTTTCTGGGCATTTTCTGACGCGTTCTGACGCCCGCTGACAGCTTAAAAAGGAATTTTTGGCACTTTTTCAAAGATTTTGTAATTTTACACAGAAGGGGATGATTTATAACACCAGCAATCATATTTGGAGCGTATTTGAAGCCACTGGAGACCATTTCTTTAAGGGATAACTTATGCAAATCTCTTATTATTATTTGGTATTGTAATTTATCAATTATGAGTAGTTAAATATCTCTAGGTTAGGTCTTGTACGATGAACCTATTTTAATTACTGTTGAGACATATGCTTGATTTGTTATTGCATGAATAATTTGGGTTATAATTCTATTCAACTGCTTCTTGTTCGTAATATTTTTTTATGTGACATACTCTTTTAATCTGATTTTGGACACATAAGGAATAATGATCATTAGTCTATGTGTTGGACCTAGGACAATTGTCATACTTACACCGGTTGAATAGGAATAGGAAACCTCGAGTAGTGGCTTATGAATTAACGTACTATTGCATTGCATAATCTTGCTTACGCTGGTAGACAAGGGATAGGAAACTTCGAGTATAGGTTAATGAGCTATACACCAAGAAATTGAGTATAATGGTTTTGTTAATTCGTCATGGAATTATAGCAACGATATCACTCATGTAATACATCGAACATCAACAGAAAATAAATAGGGAATTCAATACAAAACCTAACCGCCTTCGTATTATTGTCAGAACAACTCTTTACTATTTTTCGTCTTAAAACTCGATCCCCATCCATTAAGTATTTTTTAAACATTGCATGATAATTGTCTTGTTAAATAACAGTGTTTGTGGATACGATTTTTTTATTACTTCGACACTATTGGTACACTTATCGAGAATTCATCAAATTTTTGGCGTCATTGTCGGAGACTGTTGATAATTTCAACAAGACAATACTTATGCAACGTTTTTGTTTACTTTCAATTTTTGTTTTATTTAATTTTCTTGTTTTTTATTTTTATTTTTGTTACACACTACTAGTAAGGTATTTTGTTTATGCATGCGCAGTTCAGGATTGGAATCGCTACCACTTGATCTAGAAATCGGGAGGGTTGCACAAACAAATTGAAAGAGTGCTAGAGAAACTACTCTGACACAGGAAGTAGAAGTATAGGATTTGAGTGTTTCTTCCGAGAGTAAATCAGACTTAGAATTAATCATGTTTTGAAACTCTTGAGTTAATTTAGTTGTTATAGTCTCAATTATATATCAAATATTTATTTATATTTTGGATTTTGTTAACTTTGTTTAAATAAAAAATCACAGCATAGTATATATTATATCAAAATTCATATATTTTCTTACAAATTTGAAAAGCAAGAACATTTCTCTATCACCAATCTTATAAAACACTCTACTACAACACTCTACACTGTCATGAACTAACCAATTGAAAATTCATTGAGCAATAGTTTTGAAACATGAAATGAAAACAGCTAGATAGGCCTGTTTTCTCTATCATGTGACTCATCATGAGTTGGGGATGAGATGAGATGCTCACGTTGAGATCCTTCTTCCAATCTGTGTGAAACATGCTTCAATTGTTTTCCATTTCTGTAGACCCCATACAACACCAACTGCATAGCTCCAAGTACAAATCCTGTACCATTTGGAACCTATAAAATTTTGAATAATTAATTAGTATATACATTAGTGTTTTTTTTTTTAATCTATAAAGAAGTTTATAGATAGATATACACATATTATAAAAAAACAGATATTATATATAATTGCATTTGATAATAGCATAGATTTGAAGCTTACCCCAAGAATAACATCACGAACAAGAACAGCATATAACAACCAAACGCCACCGTTTAAAAAGAAGAAAAAAGAAAGAAGGAATGGCAAATATTCCACGCTTTTTGTCTTCACCACTGTTTTCTGAAAATACAATCATACAAAATATAACATATAATAAAAGAATAATCAGCACTAACTATACATTGTTTAATTTTATAGATTTAAATGAAGAACAATGACATAGGACACAGAAACGTAACAATGAAAGATATAATAATTAATTTAAAGCATGTTTTAGATGGAGGGGTCGGAAGTGATGAGAGAAGGTGGGATTATTGTTAGTTTATTATGATTCAGAGATTTTTTTTTAATTTTAAATTTCAACGCATAATTAAGATAAACACAAGATACTATATTTTAAAATCGTGTTAAATTAATTAATTGTGCAATTTAGATGTGTAATGTAAGTGGATCATATAAAACCCAACAAATCAAATTGGAAGAAAATTATTATTTTTTTGTTCGGTTCAAAAACTAAACTTATAAAAACCAAACTAATTTAGTTTGATTTCGATTTTTATTTTTAACAGCTCTGGTGAATTAAACTGAAAATTAGATCGATTGTTCTTTTGATTTCATTGATTTAAATTCATAATGTCACACTTATTTTAATAAGAAAAATGTCATTTAAATATATAATATTTGATAATGTATCTGATATATCATAAATCTATCGTATATCAATATTTTTATCTTTCTTCTATTTTTTCATTTTATACAATCAAATGAATTTTAATAATACATTATTATATTTAAATATTTTATTTAATACTTTTTTTACACTCAAATTTAAATGTTAAAATATTTTTTTTTAATAAATAGATATTTTTTTTAATATTAAGTTAATTTTGAATTTTACATAAACTTTTAAAAAATATATAAGTAAACGAATGGATATACACCAACTTATTTTATTATATTGTTGACAATTAATTTTTGATCTAATTTTTTTAAAATAAATTTAATTAATATTATTCTTATATATCTATCAGTTGAATTGGTTTAACGAAAAAATATATAAATATTTTATATTATTAATTAAATATAATAATTACATTTTCGTGAAAGTTAGACTTTTATTTTAATAACGTTAATCAAATTAAAGTATTATCATTGAATTTGTATAATATTTTGTATATTGATAGATGTATAAAAGTTAATCTCTTTTTTCATATACAATAATCATAGATTAAACTTTTGACTAATTATTTAATCATTTATTTTAATCTATTATTGATTGTATACCTACTATTTTAAATACACACGTGTACGATTAAATTATGCAACGATGTGATTGGCATATGCAAGTGTTAGATCTAGATGTTTCATCAAGCATTGTCATCATTATGAAACAACAAGTGTATGATGAAACTGTGGCCCATCCTTGGGACAGTACTCTTATCAGGTTCCCCCTAATGAAAAAAATAAAGTAACCTATCAAATTCAAAATAAGAATAAGGAGAACCACTTATTTGGGAGAAAAAAAATATTAAACTATGAAGATCCAACTCATTGCCATCAATTATTTCAATTTTGTAAACACAAGATCTACCAAACAGTCAAACACAAATTATTGTTTTTTAGGTCAATTTGAAGAGAAAAAATAATAAGGCAAAGTTGAATGATTAATTAAAAAGATGGAGAAACTTACCATAACAGCAAGAGGTGAAGCATACATAAGAATGTTCAAAGCTGCACCCATGATACCCACAGCACCACTACGAGCCTCTCCTTCTAATGCTAATTGAGTTGCAACTACTGCTGCTCCTAACACTCCCACATCCAAAATTCCAACCAAAATTGCAGTCTTAACCTAAAATAATTAATCAAACTTAATATCTCTAATATCTCTAATCACCATTATTCAAAATTTTTACACGCAATCAAAATATAAAAATAGTTGTTTCGTTAAGTCAGTTCAATTAATAATAAAAAAATGTCTGTGTCTTCAGATGAGCGGGTCTGAGCCTAGCTGGATATAATCATTAAAGCGACAGATGTTATAGTGAAAAAAAAAGGTATACCCTCATTTTTTGTGGTGCATAAATGAGAAAAAGAAGAATATAGATAGTCTCCACCAAGATGCCAAAGCCATTAACAGTGGCCACAAGATATTCTCCAGCTTTAATGGTTCCATAGTAAGTCCATAATGAGGAATTAAGCAATGTGCATATGTAAGGAAAACTGGAGAAATCTTCTGTCGATCTATGCTTTATTATTCTCCAAAATGTTGGTCTGCAATATTGTTTAATTAATCAATTAATCAATTAATCAACAAGTGATTAATTAATTTGTGAGTAGAGTGTGAAGAGCTTACACCGGAGAAAGAAACATGAGAATTGAGATGATGTTTCCTATATACAAAACAAAGAAAGAGCCATATAAGAAATTTATAATCTTGGACATGAATGAATTAATAAAATTACTACTACTAGCATATATGCTAGTGCAAAAGAGTGAAAAGTATGCATGTGTTGTTACCTATGATTCCAACAAAGAAACTTGGATCTGCCATATGTGAAAAACAAGAAACAAGATTGTGAATGGGTAGTTTCAATTTCTTCTGTTGTTATTGTGCTTATTTATGGTTAGGAAGAGTAGTGAGAATGAGGTGGAAATACTGTAGGAGTTTTCTTGTCTGGTCACAAAATTAAAACAGCAATGATTTTTTTGTATATGCTCTCCGCTCTCGGTTTCTCTCTATATATTTTTTTCCTCATTTTTATTGTTCTAATCTTTCATTTTTTAATTAAAAACATTGGGACTTTTTGACTCAGCATTAGCACATACTAGTGCAACTTGCAATAGAATCCAATAGTAATAGGTGAGATAGTTGAGTGTTTTCTAATTAATTAAGTGTTTGTTTCACGATGATATATTATTATTATTTTTTTGTAATACACATAAAAATAATTAGTGCATCAATGATGAAAAATAATTAATTGAAGAAGATGAAGTTTAAAGAGGTATTGAAAATTATTAGAGAGAGATTAATTGAGGAGAAAATATCAAAATGATATTAACTCAAAAAAGTGTTTTAAAACACACATTACAAGAAAGTGTTTATATGATACATTTAAAATAAGTTGGAATCAAACAGACCCAAAAACGGCTAAAAAAATTTCAAACTGTCGCAGCAGAAATCAATTTCCTCAAACAAGAGAATCGATTTTCTGAACTAAAAATACAACTTTCAGAAAATCTCAACTAGTGGAAATCGATTTCTCATTTTGTGGAAATCGATTTCCTCTGAAAAATCCAGATTTTTTATTTTCAGAAGTGCTTCTCAAATAAGCTATTTCGAGGAAACGATTCTTGAAACTTTCAAAATGCATTTGAATTATTATCAACTTCTAATACACCACCTTAATTCAAATGTTCGGCATTCTTCATACCTAAACTCCTTACAAGCTTCTTGAACACATCATTTGTCACGCCTTTCATCAACAAATCTGCAAGTTATTATTCGCTTCGACAATATCCTAACTTCAGCTGGCCTGCACACACCAGTTCCCTCAAAGAATGAAATCTCATCTATATATGTTTGCTCCTCCCATGTGCTATGGGTTTCCTTGCAAGATTAATGGCTGAAATGTTATCAACCAAGAGTGTAACAACTTTTTTTGCACTGCTGCATAGCTCCTTTAGCATATTCACAAGCCACACAGCCTAACACGCAAACATCGACGCAACGATATACTCGGCCTCACAAGAAGAGAGTGCAACCATATGTTTCTTTTTAGAGCACCAAGAGATTGGAGCTCCGACGAACATAAAGACATAACCAATCATATACTTTCGATCATCCTTATATCCGCACCAATTGAAATTCGTGTAACCGATTAACTCGCAATTTCTTCCCGTATCAAATGCGAGAAAGAGAATTCTGCAGTCAAGAGTTCCTTTGATGTATCTTAGGATCCTCTTAACTGCTGCCAAGTGAGACACTTTTGGTCTCTCTATGAATCTACTTGCAATACCGACACTAAACGTCAAATTTGGCCGCGTATTACACAAGTAACGTAATGATCCAATCAACCTTCTATATTGAGTTGGATCCACATCTTACTCATCATCACTTTTGGACAGCTGCAACTTTGCTTCAGCCAGTGTTATGACAACATTACAATGCTTCATATCACATCTTTTCAAGATCTCAAGTGCATACTTCCTTTGATGCATAAGCAACCCCATTTTTTACTTATGAAACTCTATGCCAAGAAAATATTTCATTAAGCCAAGGTCACTCATCTCAAATTCTTCCATAAACTCACTCTTGAACTTAAAAATATTCACTTCATTGTTGTCCGTAATCAATAAGTCGTCCACATATAAGCAAAGTATGATCACATCTTTGCTTGCATCTATCTTCACATAAACACAATGTTCGGATACACATTTCTTGAAGCCAACCTCAACTAGAAAAGCATCGATGCGTTTGTTCCAAGCTCTAAGTATTTGTTTCAAACCATAAAGTGTCTTCTTCAATTTGTAGACTCTTCCCTCTTGACTCTTCACCACAAAACCAGAGGGCTGCTCTACATAGACTTCTTCCTCAAGTGGACCATTCAAAAATGCGGATTTTACATCCATTTGATACATTGGTCAGTTATTTCTATTCGCAATGCCAACAACCAACCGTATAGTTTCTAATCTAGCGTCGAGCCTTATGCTTGACAATTTTGCCTTTAGAATTTTCCTTCACTTTATAGACCCATCTCACACCGATTGACTTTTTCCGTTTCAGTAAATCGACCAGCTCTCAACCACTGTTTTTCTCAATCGATTTCAGCTCCTCCTTCATCGCACACACCCACTTTAAATTTTTTAACGCCTCCTCCGTATTCACGGACTCGGATTTGGCCATAAGCACAAACTGAATAAGATCACCTTCATTGATGATCTCATTATCATGGAATACTTCACAATCTCATAGCCTTCATTGATGATCTTATTATCATGGAATAATTCACAATTTCACAATCTCATAGCCTTCATTGATGATCCAATTATTATGAAATACTTCACAATATCAGAGTCTCGGCTGTCAAAACATGTGTTAAAATATACTTTAAAAATTAAGTCCCATGACCCAACAATATCTATCCAACCCATCATTGTTCAATTGGTAGTGTTAGTGCAAAGTATATAAACACTAATGAAAACGAAGTGGGACTATAACCCATCAGTTGCTAATACAACTTTATCATGGGACCTGCAACAAACTGGAATCATGAACCATCACCATAACGAATTGTAACATCTTCAGTATCACTTCTACCACTGTTATTATACTAAGCTCAATTTTCTTACATGTTTATAGTAGTCTACAATCCAGGTTGACAATAAAAATGGTGCAAGTCTGGTTCAAAATTGGTTTTGTTTTTTAAATTGATGCAAAGCCAGACTTTCTTGAATATCCATAACCACTGGCTTTTAAAAGAGATACTAGATGTGCCACATATAAGATGATAAGAGTTTCATTAAGGTGGATTTGGTAAGAGGTTTTGTAATAGTATGTCAGCAATTTGAACTGCGAAATAAATTGGGAAAAAGTTTGATGCTGACATCAAATTCTATTTTCTCTTGCATTAGATGGCAATTATATTTGGTACGTTTACGAAAAAATGGATTGTAGGTTAGAGAGACTCCATAGCCATTGTCACAATAAAGAGAAATGGGTTTGAAAAAAGTGGCGTTAGTGTCATCGAAAATATATTAGGCAATGTATGTCACAAGTTACACTTGTTGATGTTTCTGCATTCGGCTTCAGAGCTGGATCTAGAGATGGTTGATTATTTTGTTAACTTCCAAAAGGAGAATGACTTGCCTAAAAAACTACATATCATGTCACTGATTTTCTTGTAGTTGGACAAGTAGGCCAATTAGAATATGTAAAACCAAAAAAATATAACGGTTCTTTAAATTTATCTCGGAATCTATTCTAGTTTCTTATCTTTAAAAAATTTCAAATGATCTTTTAATTGTTTAAAATAATTGATATTAGTCATTTCCATCCATAATTTTAAAACTTTTGCGTGGGTGGTATCTGATGTAGCGTTTAATAATACGCGTGATACGTGATTTGATAAACATTAATCTTCAATGTCATTAAATGATCAGAAAAATTCTAAATGTTAGTTAGAGACATCAAGAGGAAGGACAATAATTGTGTTATCAATAATGATGGTGCATCTACGTAGTATAACAATGATGACTTCATAATAAACTTAAATATAATTATAATTTGTAATTGTGAAGTGGTTTAGTGGTAAATATGTTTCTTTTTCATTGAAATGATTTGAGTTTAAATCCTGGCCTCCACAAATATTTTTAAAATTTTTCTGATCATTTAATGACCTTGAAGATTAATGTTTGCCAAGTCACGTGCCACATGTATGACCAAGCGCCACATCAGATGCCACCCAAGTAAAAGTTGACGTCGTTTCAAAAAATAGACGAAAAGGTCTAACGTGGACTTTTTTGAACAATTAAAGGATCACTTTGAAACTTTTTAAAGATAAGGAACCAGAATGGACTCCGAGGTAAACTTAAGGGACCAAAAATAATATTTTGCCTAAAGTAAATCTCTTGTTACACATAGGGGTGGAAATAGACTAAGCTAGTCTAGACTTTAGAAGACTTGGGTCAGGCCTACGATAAATTTAAAAGGCTTGAGTCTGACCTATGGTCTATTATAGGCTTTTTTTTTTTACTTAGTCTAACCTTTTTAAAAGTGTGGTGTGACTTGAAAGCCTATTTAAAAGTCTATTTCTAATTAAGATTTTCAATTAATTCACATTACTTAAGAAGTCTTATAGGTTGACACACACACACACACACATATATATATATATATATATATATATATATATATATATATATATATATATATATATATATATATATATATATATATATATATATATATATATATATATATATATATATATATATATATATATATATATATATATATATATATATATATATATATATATATATATATATATATATATATATATATATATAGGCTGACCTATTTAACCTTTGTTCAAATATATATGTATATATAAGTTATCCTATTTAGTTTTTTTTCTAACATACATGCATGTATAGGAGAACATATTTTTAATGTGTGTGTGAAAATATAGGCCGACCTATAAAGCTTCATATGATATTTTAATAATATAAATTTGATTGATAGTAAGATTTTGGGGCATTATTAAGAAGACTAATAGTAAGACTTTGGGGCGCAAGAACTTCATCCCTTTGGAACCTTACCTTAAATGGGTGCGGGCTCGAGCCCAAAGTTTTATGATGCCATACGATGCCATCTTATCGGTGATCTTGGAACCTGTTATTCAAGGGGGCGAGTCCCGCATTATTCTCCATCCTGATATGCCAACCAACTTCGAAGAGTTGCAAAAGTCTTGGATCCAGCTCAAAGAAGAACGAGATACTTTTGAGACTCAATCCTATGCAAGTGAGAAGAAAGTGTTGGAATTAATAAAACAGCTTCACGAAGAGAAGAATCTCAATACCTATCTCTTCGAAGAGTTATAGTTTATTTTGTGTGCTTGCACACTAATGATACTGGTGTCTTTAATTTTATTTTCTTAACACAATATTCTTATGATTGTATTTATATTCATTGTTGTTGAATGGCAAAATTTATTAAGTTCCAGTTTTATACTCTCACTTTGTTTAGCAGGCATGGAATGTAGAAGAAAGAGACGCAGAAGGGAGATAATTAGGAAAAAGAGAGTGAAACTATTTCATTTAGTGAACGAGAGAAATCAAAAAGCTAAATTGAACCACTTTTTCTTGCTGGTAAGATATGTTGTGACTTGTGTGATACTTGTTACAACTGAGTTATATAATGGTCTGAATGTAGGTTTTCTCCAGCGTGCAACGGGTCAATGTATATACATTTCACTAAAGATGTTCCCAACTTTTCCATCTCCTCTCCCTGTCAGGAAAACCAATGCAAGTGTTTTTACTTCTATACCTGGTGAGTATTTTAAACCAATGAATTGATGACTTAATTCCCACATATATTGCATTAGAAATGATATTGGTGTTTATATAGTGGATTGGAAATGTGTTGAAGTGAGTTGTACTTAAAGTCCTGTTGTTTTAGTTTAAATTTATGTTATTTATTTTTAAAATAATTTAATTTCAGGTAATTAATTTAAATTAATCAATTATATAAAAATAATAATAATTAATATATTTATTCAGTCACTAATGTCATGTAATTGAAAATAATATTTTAATCTTAATATTAATGTTACATATGCAAAATTAAAAAGAACTATAAAAATTTCAAGTGAAATAAAATTTAGGGATCAGAAAGTTAAATTTTAAAATAGAAAGGGTAAAAATTAAAAAGTTTGAAAATAACAGGATAAAAATAAAAATGCCTTTAAGCCTTTTTTATTAATTGTGGTTACATTGAGATGAATTCTAGTTTATTCTCTTTAATAGCGGTGCCACGGTTTGTAGTTTTTCATTTTTGGTGGTTGGGGGTTAGGTGATTCTTTCTCCTTTTTGTTGTTGGATTTATTCTTTGTTATATATATATAGTTTGGACTTGATATTTCAAGAAAAATTTAACAAATGTGCTAAATCGTTTGATTAAATTTGATCAGACTTTTATGAATTTTTATTTGTTCTTATTTGTTAAATGCATCTATTCTCTAAAATTGTTCCTTTAATATCACGATGAACTAACAAAATTAATTATACTCAATTTTTCTAGCAAACACTATCTTATACATCTCATAATCATCATGTATATACTTTTCACGAGATCATTTAATATCTCATGCATTCACTAATAATAAAGTTTGATATTTGAATCAATGATCATGATAAGTAATTTCACATTAATTAGGGTTTGTTCCTTATGCTTATGGTTTACCAGATGAATCCTTAAGGTTTTGGTTGTGCAATCATCATGAGCTTCTTATACATTTGATTCCATAAATACAAAGGAAAGACGAAAATAGATGGAAATTGGTTCAAATTTGATTTTGATAAGGTCACAAGTACAAGGAAAAAGAGATCATAATACATCCAAAGGCAAGAATCTTAGCACTATGCCCATTATTCAAGCATCATCATACCATTAATGACATTACAAAATCAAGAGAAAGTTTGCTTTGAAAGCTTGGAGTTCTACCATTGAATTCAAGAGTTTACAAGACATTCTTCATTACAAAATCATCACCATTTCAATTGTGCCATTGTTACAAAAGGAAACTCAAGTACATTACATGGAGGAAAATTACATCAAATGTTACATAGAGAACCTAGCCTAAACACATCCTAATATCGTAATCCTTTCTCATGCTCAAGTAACCTTTGAACTCTTGCTTCATTTTGACTTACACCACAAAGAAACAACTAGTTTTGATGTTCAAAGAGGCAAGCATGAGACTGTGCCAAAAGTTTCTACAGGATACCATAACTTGTCATGCCAATACTTGCCATTTTATGCTTCATCTCCTAACCAAGAAAAAACACGTTGCTGCGTTCACAATAAAACTGCGACCATGCATAAAATCCAAATAAACATGTCCAAGTACAAAATTTAAGCTAAACCAGTTCAAACTGCTACTAACCATGACCTGCAAAATAAAGAAACAAGAGAGTTAACTCAGAAATAAACCATGCCATGTATCGGAAATTTGTTCGAACCAACAAATGGAAAATTCATAATCAAAAGCCAGCTCATGTCATAACAGAATATAACAAACTTACAAAATAACTCTAACAAAACTTAATAGCTAACAGAAATACAAGGCAGATCCTATAACTAACTCTTAACCGCTTCAATCATCACCATCCATTTTGTAACCAACTTCAGGATCCAACAGTTCTAATCACTTCATACATAACTGTTTCTCTTCATTCCCAATCCCTATATAATCTAGAGGCACCAATCACTCTCACTTCTCTCCACCACTATTTTCACAAATTCACCCTCATATCTTCATTCTTCATCTTCCTCAATCTCTCTCTCTCTCTTTCTGAACTTCACCTTCTCTCTCTCTGAAACTCTGAGAATCCCAAAACCTTCTGCAACTCTGCTTGTCAACATCAACACCTCACCTTCAGCATCTTCATCATCGCTCAACATCTTCTCCACACCTCACCTTCATCATCCTCTTCACATCACAAGGAAACGCATCTTCATCTGCTTCACATAACATCACCATATCAGAATCTCAGCACACAACTACAATTACACAACAACACGCACATAAGCGATAGGAAATCAAATCGCATAAACAGAGGTGTATGAAGTGAAATCGGTGAAAACCAGGTTTGGAATTAAACTCGGGGGAAGAGGACGAAGAGGGAGACGTAGGAATTTTGGTGATTGTCGACGCTCTGCCGCCTCTGGCGCGTTCGAGCGATTTCCGGCGAAGGTTGAGTTGAGATGAAGAGAGACGATGGTTTGTACGAAGGAAGCTGAAAGGTCGCATTACTAAGGGTGTCACCAAACCAGTCATAAAAAATTCCAAAATCTAATCGAACTAAATCAAAATTCCAAAAAAATTATATTTGGTTTGGATGTGATTGGATTTTTTTTAATGAAACCACACAATTCAGTTTAGTTTAGGATTTGTATTTTGCAAATCGAATCAAACCAAACAAAACTACATTATGTTATAAAATCTTACTAATCAATATATATTTCTTTAATTATTTAAAGAAATCAACATATATTATGTGTATATTTTATCCTCCTTTGTATGATATTTATTTTAATTTATAAATCATAAAAAATAAAATTTATTTATTTATAAATACTATTTTTACAAAATATATTTTATCTTTTTTTTGTATAATATTTATTTAAGAATGCAATCTTGTCTATATCATTCTTTAAATTTAGATAAAATTATAATACGCAATTTTATGTATCAAATTATAAATTCATTTTGACAATTAAATTTTTTTTTATGGTAAGGTATGAACAATTAAACACAAAATTATATTTTCTTCTATATGTGTATGTATGGCTTAATAATTTTTTTGTAAAAAACCGAATCAATCGAACCAATTCAAACCGCATTAATTTTGTTTGGTTTGGTTCGGATTTATTTTTAGAAGTCAACCGAACCAAACCGAGCCGCATATTTTTTTCTCTTGCGGTTTGGGTGATTTTTTGCTTCAAAATCGTCCAAACCGCACCGCGAACACCCCTACACATTACTTTGGAACTATGATAAGACCAATACATAGTCGTTTCACGTTATTTCATTCTTCTTTAATTTGTTTTGCTTGTTATCAACTCTTAGTTAATAAATTACATAAAATCAGGAAAAAAAGTGAAATCGGATTGTGTATTGCCAATGGACTGGACCGAAAACCATACTCCCCTAAGCCCAATTATGTATCATTTTTGGCATAACTCAAAGCTAAAGATTTTTTTTAGCAATAATCAAGTATTAAAAAAAACACAAATAACCATGTTTCAGAGAAAATTACGCAAATAACTATGTTTCAGAAAACCCCATAATGGAGGAGCCAAGTGAGATGGCGCATGCAGTCACCTTTTTGCCCTAGGCGCCATCTCACTTGGCGCATGTACTTTGTTTTAGCCAATTGAGATGATGCATGCGCTATAAAAAGGAGAGGAGGCGCCATCTCACTTGGCTACTACGTGCAATTATGTTTTTTTATAAATAAATCACCAATTTCTCCATCATTCTTCACACTTTCTCGCATTGTCTTCTTCTTTTTTCTCTATTATTTGTGTCATGACATCTCCAATATCCTCTTGAGAAGAACTCTCCTCGGTATAAGCCATCGCCATCTCCAATATCCTCATCAGGCCGCCAACATCCTGCACCAACATTGCCCTTTTCTCCGAGCGATCCAAACTCTCAAGGTGAAGAGCCTCGACCCGGGGGAGTTGAAGAGCAGCGCCCTCGAAGAAAGCCCTTTCCAGCCAGCAAGGGGGAAGGTCATACTTCCCTTTCCCCTTTTCTCCATTCAAATCAACACTCCCCTCGACACGCATCCTCTTCGCCTTCGAGGATACTGGAGTGGGAGAGAGGGCGACAACAACTTGTCCTAAGGATAAATTTTCTGATCTTGACATGGGAGCAGTCCCCGAACCGGTTTAGGCATCCTTCAATGCTTTCTTCGCTTTCACAGAAAAGTTTCTGGCTATGCGCTCCTGAGCAGGATTCATGCTATCTGCAAAACAAACAAAAAAATTAGAATTAACAAACAAGGACTCAAAGATGTCAACCATGTACAATTATTCAAATCATAAAACTAAATACGCAAGTATTTGACAGAATCCTCACTCTCGAGAAGCTCTTTAACGACTATCAGAATGGGCTCGTACACGATCTCCCCGTTCTTCTCCGTGACCGGATTTCCTCCCCGACCCGCACCTGGACACGGGGAATCTATGCAACAAAAACGGTCAAGACAATAAAGCTCGTCTGGTCCTCGACACCAAGCTCCCTCTCCTTCCAAACGTAGGAACCTAACTTATTATCAAAATGCTTCCTCGTCCACTAAAAAGGGAACTTGTAGACCAACTTATTCACGTTCTCTCCCAGCTTGTTCAAAACGGGGGTCCCATTCTCATCATGTAGTGGAGCAGCCCGAAAAATGTTCAGCATCTCCCTGCATGAAAGATGCTACACAAGAATATACTTGTCCTTGAAGTGCCGAACAGACTCCAGGTAAGTTTTGAACAACTTCTTGTTGCCCTGCTTCAAGGGTCCCATCCCTAATTGCCATCAACCTTGCTCCTCTGGAGATGGAAACAATAAAAGAACAAAGGAATGGTGGCCCATATCTTCAAATAATGGCAGACAATCTCGAACGCTCGCATGAAAGCGACACTGTTCAGATGCAACTGAGAAGGAGTCAGTCGAAGATGCCAAAAAAAAGGTCACCTGAAAATCCGAGAAAGGGAGTCGAAGGCCCATCTCCCGGAACACAATGGAGAACATAGGGATCCACCGCTTATCATACTTAGAGCAGATTCGACTATCTTTTTTAGGGATCCAAAGCGACCACTCCCCCTGACCTCCATCATCGTATGCGTACACTTCGGTGAAAACCTCATCGCAATGCTCGGAGAAATAGGAAACCCAGTCCCAAGGGTCTTCCGTGACCCAGGTTCGCGGTTCCTCGTTCGAGAGGAAACAGGTCACCCTGATCAAGGAGAGCCATCTCCATGTCCTCTTCCCCCACATGCTGATCATACCTGTTCGGCTCATCCCCAGATATCTCCAGGATGCTCGACGTATTACAAGTGTCATTCGTAGAGCTCTGGGAGGATCAGCCCGTCCATATGAAAAATCATCTCCAACATTATCGGCCATAGTACCCGAAAAGCAGAGGATAGAGGTGAGTTCGACATCAATGCCAAAACTACCCTTCCACCACTAATCAAGTGAAAGGATGTTGATAAACGAGGACCATTTCCTTGACCAGAACCCTCACTAAAGCATCTGAACAAACAAACACTTTTTTAACAAGACAAGCTCCAGTCAGCAAAAACGACCTAAATCCTCAAGGATCACCTACGGTGCATCACGAAAATCCGGAGAAAACCCATAGTCCGGCGTTTCCAAAACTACAGAACCACCATCTGCTACCAACAGTCCCCTAAAAATGCCCTAACAGACAAGATCCTAACTCTAACCGCATGCATTTCTAAGGCAAAATTTGTGGAAATCTGAGCTACAACAGCTAAAATAACGACGAAAATATGAAAACTTACCAGTTGTAGAAGAAAAGAGGCTGAAAGGAGCAACGACAAGCAGTTAATCTTCAAGAAACAACGAAGGTCGACAGGCGAGCAGTAACGAGAAATGCGAGTGAAGAATAAAAAGTACAAAATACCATACTCCTCTCGTATTTATATCTAAAATCGCATGCGTGTGAGAGACACATGCCTAGAGAATCATAGGATCGTCATCATTGCACCATAGCCACTAGACCATCATTGAGCCACTTCATCAGTGCACTACCCGAAACACGCCACCTCTTCAACTTTTAAAGCTAAAAACGACCAACTCATCATCTCCTTACGAGAAAGACGCAATGGGCGACACTCAATCTCCCCGTAGGAAGCACCCCATCCCACGAGCAGGTGTTAAAGTCATCACTCCTATTCCCATAATAAACGACTTAGGGGGATACTGTGATACGGTGGGAGAACTGACTTGAGGTTTTGCGTTTGTGTTTGCAAATGTTTCAGTTTAGCAAGAGTCGCCACCGACTTTTTATTTTATCCTAAGGAAAGGTCAAAAAGCACAGGAAAGACCTTTGAGATGTTTTCTTGGGTTTGGGGAGTAGATTATGAAAAGGGAAGGTGCAAGCACCCTTTTCATCCATGGTTATCCATGGGCTCTTAGTTACTTGTTTAGATCACTTGCTTTGCTTTTCCAATTGTTTGAAATGGTGCTTTGTGTGTGGTTTTGAAAGATGTTTTGAAAAGAGGCCATCGTTGTGGCAACCTTTGTAATGACTCTTGTTTGAATGTATACAAAGGTGTTTTTGTCTTTTGAAAAGATTTCAATGTTTGAAAGTTTGATTTGGGAAATGTTTTGAAATTGTTTTGTGAAGTGTGTTTGAAAATAGCAAGGATGTTTTGCAAGCTTTTTGATCAAGTAACTAAGAGTTATCTACCCTATTTTACTCAAAGATCCTTCCTAATGTTTTTAACCCTTTTGACAGTGTTATTTCACCATTGCATTTGGTGAATAACCTTGTGTTAGGATGTTAAACGGGACAGGCGCGGGTCATCGTATAGACCATGATAGCAATTGTGTTAAGTATTTTTGGCAATTTTCTTGAGGGACTTGATCATTTTTGTTTAGGCAACCAAGATAGCGTCATCGAGGGACTATGATCTTTTGTTTTGTTTTGTTTTGCCAAAGTACCCAACATGCATACCATGACCCATTTTTGAAGGCAACAAGTGGATTGTAACCCCAGGGGTGCAAGTGTGTATTGTGTTTGATTTTCATGCATTTTTGTCTTTGATTAGGTCAAACTATTTGTTAATTTGGATTTTTGCACACAAACCCTAATTCTCTAATCATGGCATAATTGAAAGCGTAAAGTGCGAGAATTTAAATTCTAAGCTATTACAACATGATTATGGGGATGGAGGTACAATTTTGAATGGGGGGTATTTGACAAGAAATATAAACCCTAGTTTACTATTACATCCAAATTGAATCTCAAATGCATAAATATTTAAATGTACAATATTTAAATAAACAAAATAAATAAATATTAAATAATATGTATTATGCAAAAAAAAGTTTTTGTTTACCTATATATGTAAAAGTATTTTTGATGTAAAAAAAGGTATAAAGAAAGAAATAAAAAAAGATTAATTTTAATTGTTTAAGGGATGAAACCCTAATTTCTTTAAGAAAATGATATATTATATTATTTATATACAATAAAATATATACAAAAATGAAATATACTTAAAGGGTATTTTTTAGTATAAATAATAATA